TGAATATAACATAATATACAGATGATATACTACAGAATTGCACTCTTGAAAAATGATGTAATTTAATTAACTAATGTCACCCAAATAAATTCAATAAAAATAAAAGAAATTAATGTAATTTCTTAAATAATTTTATAGTAAGGGAAACAGTGTGACAGTGTGGGTTTAGTAGTAATAACAACAGTGCCAGAGCAGCAGCAGAAGCAGCAGCACAAGGACCAGAGATGCGCTTGGTGATGATAGAGTTAACCTACTCTCTTAACAAGCGGGATCTGGAAACCCACCGCACACTTGATTCAGTATCTGCATCTTAACAAGAGGCCTACCTTGAAGTTTAGGACATACTTTTCTAACACATTTACAACTGCACTAACATGCATATCATCACAAATGTTCTAGTGAATAAAGACTATTTGGACTGTGCAAGTTCTCAATCCTCAGAGCAAGATCCAATTTTGATCCTTGTATTTATATCATATTTTTCTCTCTTTCTTTAAGTAGCAAAGGCAGAAATAGCCGTGGCCAATATGGCGCAGTTGGTTGGGGCGTGCTGCAGGAATCATCCTGTTGCTGATTCAATTTCTGTTCAGGACACATGCCCGGGTTGGAGGCATGCCAGAGGCAGCCAATCGATGCTTCTCTCTCACATCGATGTTTCTCTCTCTCTCTCTCCCCCTCCTTCCCTCGCTCCCTCCCTCCCTTCCTCTCTCTGTAAAAATAAAATTTAAAAATCTTTAAAACTCTTTTTAAAAAAGAGCAAAACTAATAAAGGTTTTAATCACTTTTTAACTCAGGTTAAAAAGTGATTAACCAAAACTTCCAACTAATGACAAGTCATCAAATTAATGAACATTTTATAATTTCCATCTTGCTCTGCTTCAATCCATAAAAAATATGCTTATTGGACACATGTTTTCTAACCTGCCACACAATGACTTTCTTGGGTTGGCAGTCTCAACAAGACAGTGCAAGCTGCATGGAAAGAAACCAGAAGAGTCAGTATTGGGAGGTCACATGTGGCTTCTGGCTTCAGTCACGTATTGTCAATAATTCTCAGTCTCAAAAATGCTAGATATTCACAGCTAGAATGACATAATCTGCAGATTAAAGCAGAACCCATTGGCGGAGAAGCTAAGCAGGATCCTACCTGGGAAACAAAATGACATTGCAAAATGACATCCCAAAATACTGCAGAATGAGGAAACTGCACAAGATACCAACTTGTGCTAAATCCCAGAAAATCGCTCTCTGAATTTCAAGGCAATTCCCTGTCCCTTCTTGAGGTGACGGCCTATGTAGCTAAAACTCCTGCACATCCAGTGGCTACCAGAAATTTCTATTTAAGTATTTCCAATTTCAGATATCCAGTGTCACCTGAAGTCAGATGATGTATAGGCTGGCTGGTACACAAGATCATTTTTACATACACAAATTTGCTCTTCAGTCTCAGGAACTGTGCCTAAGCCATGCAAACAAACAAAAGACAGAGGGAAAGAAAAACCCCACAAATATTCCACCCTGGTTAAGTTTATTAATCAGAGTAAATACAGTTTTATCTTATCATCATGTTTTCGATGAAGAAACTTCTGTTCTTTTTTTAGATTTGGAGAATTGCTTTTCCTGACAGAACCCCCCAGAACTGAAAACCCTGAACTGCAAACTTGTCCTTTGTCCTAGTTGTTTACCCGTCTTATCAGGCACACATGGGTTGGCAATGTGATTCTAAGATAAAAATTCCAAAGTTATAATTAGATGTTTTTCCGAGAAACATCTCCCAATGCCATGAAAATTTGGTTGCTGTTTTTCACTTCATACTTGGAGTGAATGGTTTTTTTTCTTGCCACTTAACCATTTTCTCTTAGATAAGTGAGAAATATTAACTTGGCACTGAAAAAAAAAGACATACTTTTAAAGTAAACAATTCTGAAAATACAGAACTTATCTCAAAATTCCATGACAGTCAATAAACCCGTTTTTCTATAACACACCTCTTGAGGCTTATAATAGCACAAATGTAATGAAAATAATTTCATGCCCCTAAATGTAACTATAAATGATAAATGATAAAAGGTATATTCCAAACCAGTGATGTGAAAGCTTTCTTGTAGTGCTTATAGATTCATTAGTTCAATTCTGAACAAAGAGGATAAAAATAGAAAGGTAGGAAATCACAAATGTGCAGTTACTCTGTTGCAGAAGAATACTCTCTAGCGAAAGAAATACTGGGAAAACATCTCATATTCTACTGAACTCCATCTTTGCTAGGGAGACCAGTTGTGCAAAAAGAAAATCTTCTACTGCCACCTGCTGGTTAATGAGTCTCAAAGCAGCTAGAATAACAAACACGTTAAAGGAGAACTTTTGATTTTTAAAGCAGGAAAAATCTTTGCACTCTTATCTATATTTATCCATTTATGAATATCTATAGTAAATTTCATATTAAATTATGGACATATATTAAATATCCTTTCTAGAAGTAGAGAATTACAGCCAGAGCAGCAGTCTCCTGACTTCTCAGCACCTCACTACTGACTCACTGAGGCCCACTCACTGCACTGAAAGAAAGTCAGAGACCACCCATTCCCATGCCTCCCTTTACCACAAAAGCCATTCAACTTAGTCCTAGGTCAGCAATAAAGATGTGAAACCAAATGGCCTTGGCAGACCTGTCTGCAGAGAATTCACAACTCAAATATTAGGTCAGCTTGAGAAGTTTCACGCTCTTGGCCCCCCCAAAAAAATCACAGGCCAAATCTATATTTTGGGAGACTTCTCTAGAGAGGTCAGCATAACCCTGATGGAGAATCCCAAACGAGGGATCAGCGGCTGGAACTGGATGGAATAGCCGTGTTGGTAAGGAAGATTCTGTAATTGGAGATATAAACATGATATTAAAATTCTGAAAGGGTGGGCTCAAGTTCCTGCTTCATTTCTTTTTCTGAAGAGTTTAAAAGTTTTACAAAGCCTTTGCTAAAAGGTTTTAAGGGCAACAATTATTCTCTTTCATTTAGAAGGTATTTTTAAAATCAAAGTAGTTAAGTATACTGTTTTGAGAAAACAGTACTTTTCTATCAACAATACACCAATTCTCCCTGCCAAAAATAAACAATGAAGATTCTTTTTCATGTATTTCATAAGTCATAAGTTATAGGAATTTTCATGCCACACCGTTTCATCTATTTTAAAAATATATTTAAAAACTTGGATTTGACTAATCATTTTCTCCAAAATTTATACAAAGTACAATGTGAATTAGAAAGCAATGTCCCAACATATAAATCCTGAGTTTTTCTTTCATTTCCCTAGACATGAGCAAATTTGTCTGCTAGGACACTGAAAAAGCGTCTGTAATTCTATGGTTCTATAATTAAGACTTGTACAAATTCAGCTGCCAAAAAATCACCAGAGTGGGTGGTGAATACAGCCAAGTAAACGCTAATTATGGAAGGCGGGTTTTCTAAGATGTTACAAGAAGCAAAGGCAAGATCAGACAACTAAGATAGTCACTACGGCAATATAAATAGTCTTGTCAAATTCAATGTAAGCCCCACTTTGGTAACAGCTGTTACCTCCCATAGTTCATAGGTACTTAAAAAAAAACCAACCACAATCTGGGATCCTCTGCTTGGAATCCAGCACTTAATTTGTCCCAAAAAATAGAGTTTTAAAAATTACACATGTCATTTTCACTCCTAGGACAAAAGAAAGAAGGAACAGAAGTCCAATGTCCCAGATAATTTTCCAGTTTATATTTTAGCTCCTCCACTAATGTTATTTTTCAAAGTTCTGTTGGAGTTCAATAAAATGCCATTAACATTCTAAAACAGAGTGTGCAGATCATAAGTGTACAGCACAATAAATTTATCTAAATCAAACACATGCATATAACCAGCACCCAATCAAGCACAGACATTTTCTGTACTTCAGACGTGCCCCCATCCACCCAGAAAAGAGAACATTTTCTTTTATATATTTAAAAATACGACACAGTTCTCTCAATAACATAATAGAGTATATTCCGACTGTCTGGATATGTAATTACAGCCTTAAAGTATAAGTGATTATACCTTTTTGCTTTTACAAACATCTATGCCCATCTCTCCCCTTAACAACAAGCTGAACCAGTCCTATTAAATTATGGACAGATATTATGTATCATTTCTAGAAATAGAGAATTACAGCCAGAGGGGCACAGTTCCCCAATACCTTCCTTGACTTTCACAAAAAAATGACAAGTCCTCATCTATATTCACAGAGTAATTTGCAAATAGTCTATGTTTATACATACCACACGGAATTCTACTAATTCATGTGTACATCTACTTTCTAGACAGAGTATCTCATGGACAGAAAAGGCATTCCATCTTTTCATCTGCCTTCTGTGCTTTAAGCTGTATGCTTTAACCTGCATGCTAATGAATGACTCGATGTTTTTCACACTATTTCTTCTGCCGCAGACACCTGAACGACTTTTCAAACAGCAATGTTCTACCAAATTGTATTATATAATATTAAATGCAACAAAATATACTATCCAGATATTTTAATTTAGAAGGTATTTTTAAAATCAAAGTAGTTAAGTATACTTTTTTGAGAAACAGTATACTTCACTACTTTGTAAATATCATCTTAATGCCCTCCATATAAATAATTTGCAAAAGTACATTTTATGCAAACAGACTAAATAACATGCCCTAATTTTAATACGTATACACATTAGTAAGATAAGTAGCATATATAAGTCGACAATACAATGCTTTGTGATATGCAGCAGCTATTTTCTTGTAAGCGATGATATCATACCTTTCTGTCAACCCTTTTCAGGCCTGATGCTATCATTGCCTTTTACCCCTCTCCTTCTCCCACCCTTCTCCACCACAAAATTAAATGAGCGTATTTCGACTCATTTGAGATTATCCTTTACTTGCACACTCATTTCTAGGACTAAAGAAGAAAAAACATGAACATCTCATGAAAGTCAACACTTCCAGAGCTCCTACCTGTGTACCTAAGCTGGCTGCCATCATGTGAGTCAGAAGCTTAGCCGCAAACATGGAATACCTGGCACAGAAGATATGGGAAAGCACAGCCAGGCAGAGACCTGTGGGAACAAAAACGTCCATGTGTGGTTTTATAATCCATGAACAAACAGTAGCGCAGCAAAAAGCTGTGGGACAGCTAAACACATAAGGCCTGGAGCCTGCCTCTGCTGCATAGCACAGTCTCTCTGGGAACGATTATGTAGCAATTTTCATTTACTCCATTTTGATTGGCATATAAAGTCTTCACACTTATCAATTAAGCCTAAGGGTAATTTTAATTTAAATATC